CATCGTTGTGCAGTCAACGGGATACAACCGTTAGACGATTTCCCCCACTGCTACTGAATTGAAAAAACACACTCCGAGATTGTGGGAAACGTTATATACGTAGTATATACAATTAGCACATAATAACTGTGGTCAAAAATAATAGCTGCTATTTTAAAAAGATAAAATCAATTACTAGAACAGATCTCTGTCCTCATGTCAATATTAATTTCTTGCCACAAATTCCTAATTTACCACTGTCGTTCTTATACGATATTTAGCGGTCAATTTACTCTTCAATTTTGAACATAACTATGAATAGGTATTAAGTGATTTGAGACTGAATTAATATGTATACCTATTACTATCATTATTACTGTTCCCTTGGGTTCCGAGTGGAACATAGGCCTTCGGCGACACATCACTTTGTTCTGTTTTCTCTTCAGATGGGTTCATGATTTCTCAAACTCTCTCACCTCTTCCTTACACGATCTCTTCCATGTCACCGTCACACTGACGACCCCCTCATTGCTTCCCATTTGAGTAAAGGCCTGGCGCGCGATGTCATTCGATGATCTCCTCAACGTATGCCGGATCCATCTCCATTTTCTCCAGCATATCAGCTCTTGGTTGGTTCGTTCCCATAGTTTCATGTTGTTAATCCTACTCGGTTATCTAATCTTCAGTATACAGTGAAGGCACCTGTTGATAAAAGTCTGCAGCCTGTTGGAAATACTTTTCATGACACGCTGACCAAGTTTCTGACCCGAAGAGAAGAAATGACTGAATTGACATCGGTGGTGAAAATCCGAATCTGGTTCTTTATGCTGGGCGTTGAAGATTTCCAAACTGGTTTCAGGTTGGTGAAGGTGTATCTTGCCTTTCCTATTCTGACTTTGACGTCTTCATCTGTCCCACCTGTAGCTGGAACGATGTTTTCTAGCCGGATAAGTGAAAGAGGTAACCTCTGTTAAATCTCTCCGTTGATGGTGATTGGTGCCCGTTGTTGTTGTTGTGGTGGTGGTGGTGGTTCGTTGATTATCTTCATCACCTCCGTCTTCTGTAATTTCACCTGGACTCCTGCCTTCACTGCCTCTTCAGACACTTCGTTGGTTTTCACCTGTAAGTCTTCGAGTGAAAAAAGACTAGTTGCACTATATATATATATCGTCTGCATTTAACACTGCGAAATTCCTGCTACGTTAGTTAAAAAGTTGAAACTCATAAACTGTTATATGAAATAGAAACATTGTCAGTATTTAAAGGAACGAAATAAAAATTCTTCAATGAAACATCCAAGGTATTAATACTTCAACCTAAGCAAGTTTCCTAATTCAGTAGTTTACTGCCCAAGAAAAAGAGGCATCAGTATACCAGACCCCCAGGTCACCATCTCGGTGAATATTAGTACAGTTGAAACAAATGAAAGATAGTGAAAACAGTCGAGATGCCAAAGAGGAAAAACCAAAGAAAATGTGCTCATCAGACCAGAAGATTTTTCAAATCACCAACAAACAAAAGAAGCCTAACATGCACAGACGAATCAGTGAAAAATAATTCACATAGAACAATAAAATTCAAAAATGAAAATATGATATTACACAATGCAAAGGAAGCAGAATAAGACAGAGTACATCAGAAAGAAGGGAAAATAAACAAACAGTTATCAGCTCTTACGCCTGTAAACCCCTTGATCAAGTTTTGTAAAAATCACCGAAGGCTACCTACTGATTGGAAGAACGGTTAACTTATCAAATTACCAGAGAAGAACAACTTAAGCCACAGCACGATATGCTGAAAAATCATCGTCCTGTTCACTCCAAACAAAATATTAAGCCATATCATTCTAGAAAGACTAAAAGGTGCTTTAGATGCAAAACTCTGCCCTGAACAATCTGGATTTAGAAACAGCAAATCATGCCTGGTTTAAATCGCATCATCGTCGAACACAGCATAGAATCGCAGTCAACATGATGACTAAATTTCATCAACTAAAGAAACGTCTTTGATAGAATTGAACGCGAAGTAATTCGGAAACTACTTCAAGATTGCGGAGCCCAGTGAAGCAAATATTTTTTGAAATCGAATCCAACATATTTATGACGATCCCATATACCAAATAAATCACAACCAAGAGCTCGATTATGAGTTTGACAAATTGAATAAAACAACGTGGCATAATAACACCGATGAATTCTTTGATTATTCTCGACACGATGATACACATATTATGCAAAGAGAGAAGAGCGAAGCAAAATAGAAAGTCGAGAAGAAAATAAAAAATCAGATATACAGGCAGTGAAAACGTTGTCCAACAGTTGCAAAAATGAGACGCAAACACAAAGGAGAGAAAACAAACACATAACAACACGATACAACTAGCAAATTAGGAAGAAAAAGACGAAGATGCAAACAGCAAACCAACAATATTTAAACGAAAGAATAAGACATACGACGAGAGAAAAAGGAAAAAACAAAAATCCGACGCCAAACAAAGGATTGTAGGGGGGATGCGAGCGTGACATGGGGTGGATCATGTGAAGAGGAGAAGATGAAAATTCACGGGCTATTGTAAAGCCAGCTCAGATTCCGTCTTCGTTGATTTTTGATTTACAGCTTGATTTCACACCGTATTTTTGGTACAAGTATGGAATTTTCAGCGTGTGATATCGGTAGCCCAAATTTTGCAGGCCGACCATAGATATCAGGTGTGCGCCGGTGTGGGCTCGAACCCCGGACCATGTGCATGGTTCGTCTGTGCAGTGACTGGCCTAACTACTAACTCACTATCTTTCTCTCCTCGGATTGCATGTTTCCATAGTAAGTTCACTCATCCTGCCACTTCTTCTTGCCCGACATCTCCGTACAGGTTTACTTCCACGTTGCCTTCAGAGACTTCTAGTGTTAATCCAAGTATATTTCGTCAGTGGTGAGGCTTAGTGTCTCCGACTATTTGCTGATAACTGCCGTGAAGTTGTCTTTTGATCTTTATCCTCCAGTTGTTGAGTGCTAAGTGTTCCCAACTTGGTCTTGAAGATTTCTTGTACTAGATAATGGTCTTAACATGCATCTGCTCCTCTTTTCGATTTTGTGTCCAACAGACTGCGTCTCTACCTCCTTGAGATTGAGATTAAGACTATCTGATTTTTTAGTGTGTCCATCTGATGAAACCCACGTCGAGACGTCGCGTGCAGAAGTCTGCGAACAATTCTTAGTTCTCGGGTGCTTCACTGACCCATGATTTCTCTTCCAGTCCGTTGCAATTCATATCACTAATTAGAATTTTATATCACCGTCTGACATGAGTCTTGGCAGTCATCTGAAGAAGTCCTCCTCCTTCTCCACTGGATCTCAGTTGTATGTAATATTGTGTAACAATGTTAACTGACATAAGATTAGGTAGGACAAGAATTACGGGTGGTGAAACTAAAAACATGGTACCTGTCGATGAAGTCTTTGACTGTTTCTCTGAGCCAACCACACAGGTAGGTGTAGGCTTACTGATCGGGGTCTTCAGAATGCGAAGAACCAACAATGTGAGACTACTGGTGATATGCATATATATATATATATATATAGCGATTTACATATTCCCTTATACTGATGCAAATTACTTGATGCTTTTAGGACATAATTGCCGAATTTTCACTGCTCCATAAATGACATTGCCATCTTTGCATTGATGATGGTGGTCAACTTCGCTGCACTGGTTCTTTTATTTCCATATTAATTTTAGGTCTTAATTTATGTTTAACTTATCTGTATGTATCGATTGATTAACAACAGTACTTGTTTTGCATTTCAATTAGCTGACATAGTTTGCACAACTGATTCCCATATTATTCTTCTTCCCCTATATTTTGGTAAACTTTCAAGTTTGAAAGTATTCTACTGAGTACTCGGTAGGTATTCTCATCCAAAAAAAGTACACATTTCTGGGAACACAATGAAAATTATAAGTTACTGAGATAAATCACCGTCGGCCATCAATCCAGTATACCTCTGATCTCAACTTATCCCAAGAAGTGTCGTATATATCTGCCTATTCCTAAAATTTCAAATCAAGACAACAGTTACTACTAAAAGAGGAGACTTTTTATCAGAGACATTTAAGATGTCACTGTCACGTTGTAATGGATGCGAAATGAGTGGAAAATTTCTTTTAGAAAATGATTTTTTTTCCCACATTATTCCGTTCCATTCGAGGTATTTATTATACAAGACGGTTGAAGAACAGTGTCCTAAGTGGCTTAAAACACACACCAGTGGGTTCAAAGAGAGTGCAACAGATGAAAGTCTCAGTAACGTTAGGCCTCCAGGATCAACAGATTCCCAACTCATAGTTATGGGGAAAAGTAGAAAACTGTAATAACTACTCCTTTTGTACTGCCAAATCCTTAATCAGTCAAATAAAGAAACTCAAACACTCCATGAAAATGATACTACTCTCAATTGTTTTGTTGTCACTTTGCACGTAATATCACCACATCCTTGATTCTCTTCCATATTAACCTGATATTGTGCATTTCTCTGGCGTATTTTGATACTGTATGAAATAAGGTCAGCTTACAGATTTTATTTGTCAACTGGCAATCACCACAACCTAGTGGTTAGTTTTAATCAGTTTGCTAGAATGAAGCTAGTGGTGGGTTCATTCAACAAATACATGTCAGTGGAACCGAATAAATATCAGACTCAGAGAATGGTAAACAATCTCAATAGCTTTCTTCATTATTTCGAACTAACTAGCTTATACGACTGTTTTTACTTGTTACTTGCCTACGTGTGAATGACAGTAGAATTCAAGACACCAATTTGATGAATCTACGTCGATGTGAGTGACGACATTCCCTCGAAGTCAGCACACTTTATAGTCTTTGAGAGAATAATACAGACCAGTATTTGTTAACCTTATTTCTGTCATCGAAAACAACTAGTTTTGTACAGCCTTCATTTTGTCTGAAAAATCATTCTAAGGAAATGAACAATGAATGCATAAATTACGAATACAAATTATACGGCTGCTTAAACAACGTACCGTTAGAATTAAAAATCGAATTTACATTAGGCAAGTAAAAACGCAACGCATATAATAATCAATGCTAACGAGTTCAACTTCTTTGTCTATATGTACGACTAGTTCACTGACAGTCCCGACGAGCTAACATGAATTAAAACTATACATAAAATGAGTAAACTGTATTGTGTATTAAGTAACCAACAGGTTCATATTCATGCGTCTAACCTAGACACTACTACATCAATTGATAGAACAACTAAAGATACATGATACTATTTATTGTATTTGATTATAAACTAATAATTTAATATAGAATTTATAATAAAAGTATTCTAAACACACGAAGGTCGGCGACCGAATATATTTTCCAAGGCATCTGCTAATGTAGGATAATTAAATTTGAATCCGGAATTGATCAACTTTGTAGGAATGACACGTTGACCATCTTGAACTAGTGTGACACGATCAGGACCGAGAAGAAGTCTAAAAACAGATGGAGGTGTTGGAATTCGACCTAAAGGATTGAACGGAGCCCCAAGTGATTCAGAAACAGCTTTAGCTAGGATAGCCTGCTGAGTAGGTTCTGGTGCTGTACAATTAACAGGTCCACTTGAAAAAGATACTTTAGAATCAGCTACATATTCAATGATTCTAGTTAAATCACCAAGATGAATCCAAGATATCCACTGACGACCAGAACCGATTGCATTACAAAAACCCAGACGATGACTGAGATATATAGAGCGAATAAAATGTGAGTCTTTAGACAAAACTACACCTAAAGAAACAAGAATAAAAACACATATGTTACTTTTGAAAGTGAAGGTTATACGCAAATTCTGAAAAACAAATTTTTTCATACCTTAAGTTAGTAACTAATTAAGCTTAAGATAGATTAGTTAGGATTCATAAAGCATCAACTTCACTCGTAATTTAATAATTATTCAAAACACTATAACAACCACATCACAGGTAAAAGCGACTGCCTAAATTAGTGATCAATTGTCTCGCAAATAAATCAGACCAAGACTTCAAAGCATCCCTCTACACTTCTTTATTTGACATAGGAACAGGATTTGGTAGATCCGTCACAGAACAATTTTAATTTGATAAAAAGAACAGCGACACAATACTACCATTCACTTGAGAGTACCATCATATGTTTATATATTGTGCTCGAGATGTCATCAAGGAAAGCAATCGACGAGGCTGTAAAGCTACATCAACTGAGCTGGTTAGAATATGTGTTACCCATACCTAACCATCACCTTCCTCGACAGGCAATGTTAGCTGACATAGGGTCAGGTTGGAGAAGAGCTAGTGGCAGTCAAGCCAAAACATGGCTTAATCAGTCAATGAAATCCACAACAGTTAGTTTAGGCCACGTAGGAAGATGTAGACTTCCCGGTTCGGGTTCTCAGGACTGTAAACACCAGTGTCTGTCTGTCTGTCCGTTTTCGACATAGAACTTTGCACATATATGTGCGGCAGTTCAAGTCGCCACACTCCAGTAAACACCAGTGACTGGAGACAATCGGTGATATGATTCAAAATCGTTCTGAATGGCGTAGAGCATCCACTCCTTTTGACTTATAATATCTGATGAAACTGTATTGATATTACTATTCTTTTTGCCTCGTATCCCTGTTTACTGTCTCTATTTTGCATTTCCTTTTACTTTCTTCTTTTGCTTTGTGTGCTGCATGGAGTGTAGTGACCGAAACTGCTGCACATCGGTGCAAAGTTCTATGTTGAAAACGGACAGACATATCAAGTAAATAATACCGTATCATTATTTTTTATCACAAAATAATTCTGTGGTAGAGTGCTTTTTTTATAAATAATATCTGCTGACTGTTTACTAGTCGACTGCCTCTACGAAGGGTAGTACTTAATAATCTCGCTAGACATGCAATCTTTACTTAAATCAGCTAAGTGTTAAGGAACTGTAAAGATATGAAGTATTGGCCGCCAAACATGAAAGTTGCCAGTTTCAAATTAACTGATACTAAAACACGACTGATAATTATGTGAATTAATAATGAGTAAAAAGGTATTATATGAACGAACTGTTTGTTCCAACCAGACTACAATAAAGAATAGTCGTTAAATCCCACCCCTTGAAAATATGAACAAGAACCGACAGACGGGTTTGTAACAAATCTTGGACGCACGAGATGATTTGAACTAGTGTGGAAACTTACTGAGTTTTCCAACGTATCCATTAATAAATCACTAGAACTTACCTGTTCGTAATTGAATTTGTCGAATATCAGGTCTCGAATGTATTTGAGCAGCTTCTTCCCACTGTTTAACAAGGCTTGTGATTAGACCACAATCTTTGTATGCAGCAGATTCATCGTAAGTGGCCTCCAAATCGGGAGCATAGAAACCTAGCATGCGGAAGAAACACATAATAATAAAATAGAGATGATAAATGTAATTTTGCTCGAAATATTACCAGAAACAAAAAACTTATCATTGTGTGTAAACTATTAAAATATGATTGATTTTGATCTATTCCACATTGCTCAAACTGTTTACTGACATTAATGATGAATGTATTCAAGCAACAAACATCGTCTGGCTACAAGTTTATGAAACTTACAACTATAAATACTCGTAGATAGAAGTTTTGAAATAATTCAGATCATATATTTGACTGGAACATTACCTAACTACTGGATGCAATCTCATTATTTTTTAGAAGGAATATTTATTGAACATTTCAGATCGACACAATTACCTTGCAAGAGGGGAGACTTACTTTAATTATAATGCATACTCAGTGTGAAAGATAGGTGCAAGACTCACCCTAAACACAATCAATAGGTATCCACTTATCATTTCAACTTTATAATGTTTGAGTGATGATACAGTATAAAATAAGAATTTATTAAACTTCAGGATATTTGGGTCTCAGACCAATTCGTGAAAAAGGGACTGATGAATAAAGAAACAAAATTTTGTTTCCTATACGTTAACTAGGGTAAGCAGGAAATACTGAGAATTTTTATCGGAAGGTGCATATGCAAACTAAAAGAACTCACCGATAGCGGAAGCATTTATAAATGCTTTAAGGGGAGCAGACTTTGAGGCCTCAACCAGAATCCTGGTTGTGTCTAAACGACTTGAGAAAAGTTCTTCGATAAATTTATCATAATTTCTACAATATATTAACGTAAATACAACTGGAATTCAATTAGCTAACTGTTTGATGAGAAGGGATGGGTTGATTTCCCCAATATTTCTGCCACTTAAGTTCACAACAACATGTATATTTTCTGGTAACCCAAACTGCTTGATAGAGTTCTGCGAAAAATGCATATTATATTTGTAGAAGAAACTCACCCAACTTAAATCATTCGCATCTTTTGGATTACGTGTAATTATCTGTACTTTGTGTCCAGCTGCTCTGAGTGATGAAGTGAGCGACCGGCCGATAAGTCCAGTCCCACCGCCTGTAAATAAGTATATTATAAAGAATTTTAGAAACAAGAATTAATCGTAACAATTTAACAAAGATTACTTGCACAGAACACAGTTGATCACTAGTGATACGTGGTCTTAATATATGCAGTGTTTTCGTGTTATTATGACTGCCGTCTCTATAACGTTTAACTCCAGAGAACAGCAACAGAGTATACAACCGCTTAACAATGTGAATCCGTACAAGTGTGCCAGTCTAAGCGACCAGACTTCAGAAGAGCACACATGAAGGTAGAGCAAAAAATGTAGTGAAGCTTCGATACATCAAGATGCACAACAGTAAGTAGGACAGAAAACCGTAAAGATGTCCGTTTGCGTTGCTGCAAATAATGGTGAATCATAACACGACTTCGTAGGTTGAAAACACATCTTGGCCTGACCATAAGTAACTCTTTCCTAATCTAAAGCTCATTAAATTAATGCTTCACATCAAGCACGGTGGCGAATAAGCATAAGAAACACGTCTAAGCGACCTCATTTGGTGAACCATTACCGAAGGCTAACGTATATCTCTTAACACAAACCTTCCCGAAAGGTCCAATTTCGCCTTGGATAAAAGGCTGTCATGAAAAACTCAGTCAGTATTACATTAGCAATGACGAAAAAACTGGTGCATTCGTCAACCGATATATCGAATAGTAACAAAAGTTCAATCCAGTGAGTTATATATTACCAAAACCAAACTAACTAATGAAAATCTAAGAAAATAAAAATGGAAGTACTGGCTAGGTTGGAAGCTATGGGACTGAATCATGAAGAAAAACATTGAAGTCACGGATCCTTAAATAATCCAGGCAGAGATGGATCACTAAGCGTTATCATAGGTTCTCCACTACAATACCTGCAATTTCCAAAATAAATTTCGAAAACTAGAAGTGTGCATGCTCATGAAAGCGGTTCCTTCCCTTATGGGATACATTTAATACCAATGACATCAAAATATTATTCCATAGGAAAAGTACAAAACAACCGAAGACTACCAAAAAACACAAGCAACCTCCAACATACAATTCTCACATCACAACAGATGCCAGTGGATTTCGAATAAATTATACTGAAATTATCCTATAAAAATTTGACTGAGATCATCAACACTTCAAATAAAGCATCCAATGACACGGAATATCTAATTCACTCAACATAGAGCTTTTAAAGACGCCTTAGTGAAAAAACAATATTCTTTTCGATCACCTCACCAGGTTTCACATATATATATAAGAATTGATGTTATTGACGTCAATGTTAATAACGTGTTTGGACGAGGTAAATGGTTTTCACCACACCATCTAGCTACACTGGCAGGTGTTTCCGAGCATGGAAATTTAAGTTCTCAAAGAAATGGTCAATATAACAGGCTCCGCAGAGGTAGCTGAACTGATGGACACAGTAAGCGGCGGCTAAATTAGTTTCGAAATCACAATCGGTCGTGTGGAAAATGTGAATTAAGGCCTACTGACATTAAAAGTCAAGTCGACTTCAAGTTGTTGGCTATTATTTCGTTTGGTACATCACCTTTCAAATGCGGAAAGTATGTTTGATTCTTTGGTTTCTCCAAACGTCTGGTTATTTCATCAGCTTCTGATTATTTGTCAGGTATAAAATGAATCTACATAAGAAAAATACATGAACAGGACAATACAGTCTCATAGTCGTCTCAAGTACAAAAGGAATTCGGTGAAGACCCTCAACTACAGAATCAGTTCAGAAGATGCAGTTGTATATGGAAAGTTAATTGAAAATAGCTACCTTGAAACATCTACCATTGAAAACATGGTTAAGAGACCAGATAAGAAATCTGCTATATTTCCTAACATGAAGCCTCTCTACATACGGCTGCCATATAATGATATACGGAATGAAATAACAACTAACAAGTTGAGATCGACTCGATGGACTTTTAATGCCAGTAGGCTGCGACTCACATTTTCCACACGGGAATTGATGCACCAGCTTACGAAGCTAAATTGAAATATTCATTTTATTTTTGATTACAGCTTGATTCCACACCGTATTTTTGGTACAAGTATGGAATTTTCAGCGTGGATATCGGTAGCCCAAATTTCGCAGACCGACCATAGATATCAGGTGTGCGTCGGCGTGGGCTCGAACCCAGGACCATGTGCATGGTCGGCGAGTCCTAACCACTGTGCCACCGACGCATATGGATTCATCCACCAAACTGAAAATCAACAGAGTACTAAGGGGAATACAATACGTGGAGATTAGTGGTATAATCCAAATCTGAATGATTACTGAGGAAATCTTATTATTACAACAGAAACAGCATTCAAGGGTAATACACTGAAAAGGTGACGAACGTCCACGCGGATGGTGACTATTGTCAAACCTCAAACCTGACTGTTAAGTCCATGTTGGTAAACAGCGCTAAGAATATGACTTTTTTTGCATTTCACTTGGAGTTAAGATACATCATTTTAATTTTTTCACCCGAAATTATTTAAATAAAGTAAAAGGTAGCTATATTTTCACTTTACGTACTGCCTAAGAGTATTTCTTGGTCAAAATGAAGTAACCTGGAGGGGGGAGGAAATAAGAGCTATTAGAGAAATGCGTCCGTGAGAGAAGACAAGAAAGAAACAACGCTCTCAAAATTATCCACATAAAGTAATCACTTCTAACTTTCGAGATCAAATTATTCGGTAACGGTGTGTCTAAGACATTAACTTAACCCATCGATTGCATTGATGTCCAACATTATTCTGTACATATTTGATAAAAACAAATAAAGAAAGTATGCCACGACGTTGAGTCCCCATCCTTGCTGTAACTTACAGCAATAATATGATGTTACTAAAAGCAATAGCCCGAGTCATGTGGAAACCTGGAGGTTACACAAACGCTCATCACTTTGCATTAGAATGCTATGGAAGACAAAATGCATTTCTTGCAGGCAATATCGTCTTTGTGAACTATTATTGGATCTAAATTGTTGGACTGGGACCGACAGAAAACATCGGATACGATTACAACTAGTGGATAAAATTAAACTTTATTAGCTGGAGCGAATAGTTCTACACAATATTCCGCTACATCCTACGTGCATTGCCTAGCTGGCTAACCAGATTAGCTGGGGAAACTGGGAAACACAATTGTCTGTTCTCTACTTACTCAATAACTCACCAAGCAGTACCAGTTATACGGTTTACCTGATGAATGCTTGACTTTATGATCAATATAACCGATGATATTCGCTGCAGATCTCACATTAACTGTGACGCTAACCCAAAAATTTAATCTGGATGGACACTACATAGCATTCTGTGAAATGTGGCTTTAGTAATGTTTGGTGATCTGTTGGATTAACCTAGTCACTTTGCGTATTGTCAATTTTTTTATCTTGCTAACTCTCACTTGAAATGCAACACGAACATTCATGCACTTTTACAAAACGACTACTAATACAACATTCGTCCTTAAAAACCCCAACTTTTAGGAAACCTTATATTTAATTATACTTGTTAACGCCTGATGACGAATTAATTCAAACCAACCTATCAAAAAATTCATTGCAAGAATAAACAAAAGTCTCCAGTCTGCCACAAATTTGTTGTCAAAAGTGTTTGCTCTCTCAGTTGTTGCTTAAATTTATGAAATAAAAAAAGTTAACTTTCCATAATTCATGGTTCATACGGATGACTGACTAAGCTACAAGGCGGGTGGCGTCGTCACCTACCTCATGAAAAGCCTAACTGTGAGTACCACTGAAGCTCTCACACATGAAAGTGAAACGTGTGAACTTCTCTGCTGTTAAATTAAATGCACAGGCCAAGATATTGACCTCTTTGCTATATAACGTGATCCCGCCTGCAATGCAGACGACTTCGTCATAGGGGAGTTGGGATCGTGGGAATCGGAATATCAAAAGCTCGTAGTCGGCGACTTCATCGCCCCAACAGTAGACTGGACAAGCATGACAAAATCATCTCCAGACATATAACTGGTGGAATCTAGCATTCCCCTAGCCCTAGACCGGTATATCATGAAGCCCAGGATCTATGACTCACAGGACTCCATTGCAACACTAGACATACTTTTCTCCCTTGGTGAGGATGTAGACCTCATACAACGTCTACTTCCCTTTGAAAAAAGGGATCCCGCTGTGTTTATTTTCAAGCTCAAAGCAGCAGTATCGTGTGTCAAAACTTCAGCATGACCGAATTTTCCGATAGCTGATATAAATGCTGTTGCCTCAGCAGCCAACTCAGTGAACTGGTGAAAGTAGAAGCCACATGGAACCAGTCTAAACACCTTTACGCTCGGGTGAATGTACTTTTCATTCTTTGGTCTAGAAAAAAACCTATTGCAGAAGTCCGCCGGTCAAGGATAAAGTTTGAAACACATCTGACTCAAAATGCAGCTGCACAACCTAAGAGAATTTCGTCATGCATGAACTTCAGGAATAAAAGATCTAATCGGTCCCAAACCTGAACATTGAGAGCGAAACAATTAAGAGGATCAGGAAAAAGCAGAGGCAATGGCGATCTAATTCTACCACGTCATCATCCTGCAGTCGCTACTCCCCATAAGACCAGTCTTGGCCTCGTCCAAGGAACACGGGATAGATTCCCTTGACGGTGATCAGGACGTCGTGTTCAACTGCCTTAAGGAGTTAGATGTGTGGAAATGGATGGATTCTGATAATCTTCATCCAAGGCTTCTCGGGGAGCTCTCAGGTCAAATAGCCAGCCCGCTGACTATGGTCCTAAAGCCATTCCCCCTAAATGGAGTGTTGCTGAGTGACTGGAAGGACGTCAAAGTAACTCCCATCCACGAATGAGGATCTAGACAAGGCCCTTCAAATGACAGGCCTATTGGTCTCACCAGCACTTTGATCAAGACACTGGAAAGAACTATCACGAAAAGTGTCATAGCATATCCGGAAAACAACAGCATGTTATCCAGAGCACAGCATGGCCTCCGAGGAAACCTCTCATGCCTGTCAAGTCTCCTTTCTGAAAGGGGAGTCTAGATCAAGTCTAGGGACAATAGAAGACCATTCGACGTCGTCTTCATAGACTTCAGTAAGGCCTTCAATAAAGTTTCTCACATAGGACTACTTACGGAGTTAGGAAGTCTTGATATTGAAAGTAAATTTCTTAACTGGGCTAGTGAACCCCTCTAAGTAGGAGGCGGAGAGTCAGGACCAACCCAAAGGTCTCCTTCTGGACAGCAGTGCGTAGCGAAGTGCCACAAAGCACGGTGCTCGAGACACTCTTATTCATTTTGTAAACCATTTAGTTATCCGCGCTCACCGATTCCCCAGTGGTCTTATGTGCAGATGACTTAAAAACCCAGAGAGAGATGAATGGTGACGGTGATACGCACGCCTTGCAAAGGGACCTCAACAAACTGTCAGAGTGCTTTAAAGAACGGATGTTCCCAATCAAATGAGCAAAATGTGCACGCACGTGCATTGGACACGCGAACATCGGCCTCTACAATATTGAGGGTATAACGCTCCCATTATTTCAGACTTGTTTGGATTTAAGTATCGTAGTAGGTAACGACTTAAAAACCACAGGGCACCATCAAGTGGTGGATGCACGTAGTTTCAGATCTTTATGACAATCGACAGAGCTTTCAACAGAATCACTGTAGATGTGTTCACCTCTGCGCATATCTTCGGTGAGGTCAAGATGGTAAAAATTTGTCCAACAAGCCAGTCCATGTCCCAAAGAGGACACAAATTACAGTTATGGGCCCTACTAACGACTGTGGACGACCGGACTGCCACTTTCCGGTGGATGATGGGATGCAGTGTGACAACTACAGCCTATGGTTCCACAAAGTTTGCACTGGTTTATCACCAGTAGCCTATAAGAGATGTTGCAAGCCATCATCTCCGTGGCTGTGCAAATTTCGCAGTAACCTTTTAAATGTCCTCATCCACGAGGCAGTAGGACCTCCGGTGTCCAAGAAGTTGTCGAAAAACATAATCGAAAAGCTCACACCAGAAATCTTAGCCAAGAATGGCGGTTCAGTACTTAGTTCTAAACCTGAGGGTGTATCACCTCCTGAAGCCTCAGAGGTAAAGGAGGCACAGAGTGCCCAAATATCTGTTTTCGGCAAAACGCAAAAAACAAAAGAAATCCAAAAATCTAGTAGCGCCAGCATGGCAACACCAGCCTCTGAAGTGGTCACGTCGAAGCGCAGCGTGTCTAGTGCACAAATGCATTTCAGTCGCGGCGAAAGCAGAATGGAAGAAACAGACTCCACTTGATTGATGCCAATAGGTAAGAAACAAAGTAAATGTAGGACAGACACAGCAACCGAATTTACCAACAAGGTCTCAACGGCCGATAATACCAGCCAAACTCATAAAACCACGAACTCTAGTTACAGTGTTGTTGTCAATCTAGTTGAAGATTGAACTATCAATTCACGGTTGTTCGCTTAAAATCAACTTCCCCAATTTTCGCGGAGGCATTAAAACGACAGTCATCGTCTCATCGGTCGCTGTTCAGAAAGAAGTTAGCAGAAAACCGTCAGAAGTAATATTGTGATTTATTATTGTAATATTTGTTCACAGACCTTAGTTGTGACATTGTTTATATGTTGGTGTAACAATAAAGAATTCTCGAGTGGCCAATCGGTGTTTTGGTCTTCTCGTCCGTTATTACTAAGCGTTTCTGAGAAACTTCAAGGAACAGCGTGAGTCCCAGCGTAGCAAGAGCTGGGCATTAACGGTTTACGAGACATGGCTGACATTTTTTGACGGTGGAAACAGATTCTGGCGAATTCAGACAGTCGGTGCAAGTTTGGATAGTCGCCGTTCATTTTTCCTGGTGCCGGTCAAGTCCTCTTTGAACAAGCAATATCTGGAACTTTTTTGGAATTTGGTCAAGTTCAACAATGCCTGGGTCAAAGAAGGGACAGAGTGTCTTGGATGCAAACAGGAAAGTAAGTCATGGTGACTTGTCTGTTAATTGTAACGATGTGTCTGATGTTAAGCATGACATGGTTGATGTTACTGTTTCGCCGTTCAGGGATAATAGGAACATCAAACTCCCTAAATTTGAACCACGGTGTTTTGATGGAAACCCGGCCGATTATTTACAATTTGTAAAGGAGTTTGAGATCATGTTGAGTGGTTTTTTATTAAATGATGAATTGAAGTTAATGTATTTGATGAGGTATTGCACTGGAGATGCTGCAAGAGCTATACAGTGTTGTAAGTTTATGAAGCCAAAAGAGGGCTACTACGAGGCTATGAGCATATTACGTCAAAGGTTTGGAAGACCTTCGATGATTGCAGGGAAATTATTCGAGGCTGTTAAGGGTAATGGTGGTCAATTACAGGATGACTCCCAGGCACTCACTGAGTTTTTAGATAATTTGCTAATTTACAAGAATGGAATGATTTCGATGAATCGCATGAGTGACCTCAACTCGAGTTTTATACTAGAAGTAATAGCAAGACGCCTACCTACTCGACTGCAAAGGAAGTGGGTGAAGATAAGCTCCCGTATGGAGGATGAGGGTATCGAGCCAAAGTTTGATGATATCCTGAAACTGGTAAATACTAGTGTCAATCAATCTATGAGCAAGTTTGCCAGTATATTGAATCTCACACCTAGAATAGAGCAGTCTGACGGTAAAACGCAATCATTGATGACGAATAGGCCTCAGAGAGGTGGATATCGAGAAGGCTCCATGATGTCTAGTAATGCATATAGACCTAGTGAGTGTAACAGGTTTCGTAGTACATCCTCAACAGATAAGTTACAAGATGCAAGACAAACACGGTTGTGTTTTACACGTTTGCAAGAGGTGCATACAGAAGTGAACTGTGAACCAGTGAGCAAGTTCAGTGATAAGCTAAATGTAAACTCCAGGTTTGACTCCGAATTGTGTGACGATAACGGTGTGGTGAAGAAGTCTGTAGTTGCAACTGGTAAGCCGTTGTTGAATAGAGTGTCACAGAATAGAGTTGCTGCTTCAGAGTGGAGTTCTGACTCCACAAGTTTACAAAGTATAACTAGTCAGAGTGAAGATATAAAACCTTTAATGATTTGTGAGGAGGAACCAAAATTGTCTACTTCTGTTATTAAAGAGTTTGAAAATGATGAAGTGAATGACGGTAAATTGAATATTTGTGATAATGATCATGATACTTCACATTTGTCTTTGGTTGATCATGATGAAATCGGGGATATGCCTACTACTGCTAAGTTAAATAAAGGTTCTGTACAACTACAACGTGAAGTAGAATTGAACGCAGATGCAGTTCCAGAAGGTGTGCATACTTGTGAGACAGTCAGTGTAATTGATCAGCGTGTAGCCCACCTATCATCAGATGATAGTGCTAAACCCGAACTAGTAGTGAAAGACAGCAGTGGTGGTAATCTTGCAGTTGGACAACTATCTGAAAGCCGAACAACAACAGCTTCTGATCCACCACTAAGTTCATCACCTTGTGTCAATCAGTTGTCGTTGGTGTTGTCATCCACAATGAAACAGATGCCCATCAACTCAAGTATCTTGTGCAATGACTATGATAGTATTGGTGCGTTTGAAAAGACGAAAGATATTGCTC